CGCCATGCTTTAGAGGCGGGCCGGCCGCAGCGGCTACTCCGGGTCTTACCTGCTCCCCCCTCCCTGCTAGCGCCCCATCGACACCAGTCCCCCCACCCACCGGGAAGGCCCGGGCGTGTTTCAGACACTGTTTACGCGCGGCCGTTGGCGTTGATGCGAGGTCACATCACCCAGTCACAGGCGCTCTCACCGTACAGCGATTCGTCGCGCGTCGTTGCCTAACACCCGCGGCCCGGCTGCGGACGGCCGGGGACAGCAGGGAGAGGGTGGGGTAGTAGCAGGGAGGAGAGGAGGGAAAGGCGTGGGGTAGGTGGAGACAGGAGGGGTAGGTAGGAGGAGGGGAGGGAAGGAAGATTGAATAAGTGGAGGAGGGCGTCAGGTATGTGTAGAAAGGGAGGGAGGAAGGGTTGGGGTTTTTTTTTTTAGCGGGAGGAGGGGTAGGTTAGGACGAGGGGCGGGAGGGAAGGGGTGGGGTAGGTGGAAGAGGACGGGGTGGGAGGACGCGGGGCGTGGTAGGTGTCGCGAAAGGAGTCGAGAGGGAGGGAAGGGGTGGGCGCTAGGTGTAGGAGCCAGGGCGTAGTAGAGGAGGAGATGAGGAGCGGAAGGTGTGTGATAGGTTGAGGAGGAGGAGTGATAGCGGAGGGGAGGAGGATAAGGGGGGGTTAGGTGAAGGAGGGGGTAGTAGGAGGGGTGGAGGGAAGGGTTGGGTAGGTGAAGAGGGCTGTAGGTAGGAGGGAGCGGGGAGGGATAGGTTGGGGTAGTGGAGGAGGCGTAGTAGTTGAGGTGGGAGGAAGTTGGTGTAGATGGAGGAGGGGTAGGTACAGGAGGGGTGGCGTATGGTAATGGAGGTCTGTACGGTAGGAGGGGTCTAGGAGGGATAAGAGTTGCCGGGTTAGGTGGAGGAGGGGAGGGAAGGAAGGGGTGAGGTAGGTGGAAGAGGGGTAGGTAGGAAGGGAAGGGGGCCAGGTGCGGAAGGAGGGGTAGGTAGCTGGAGGGGAGGGAGGGAAGGGGTGGGGTAGGTGCAGGAGGGGTAGGTGGAGGAGGGGTAGGTGGAGGAGGGGAGGGAGGAAAGGAGTGGGGTAAGTGGAGGAGGGGTAGGTAGGAGGGGTGGGAGGGAAGGGAAGAGGGCAAGGTGCGGAAGGAGGAGTAGGTAGGAGCAGGGGAGGGAGGGAAGGGGTGGGGTAGGTGAAGAAGGAGGGGTAGGGTAGGAGGAGGGGAGGGGGAAAGGGAAGGGGTCAATGTACAGAAGGAGGGGTAGGTAGCAGGAGGGGAGGGAGGGAAGGGGTGGGGTAGGTGGAGGAGGGGTAGGTAGGAGGCGTGGGAGGGAAGGGAAGGGGGCAAGGTGTGGAAGGAGGGTAGGGTAGTAGGAGGGGAGGGAGGGAAAGGAAGGGGGCAAGGTGTGAAGGAGGGTAGGGTAGTAGGAGAAGAAGGAAGGACGGGCTACGAAGAGAAGGGGTTGGATAAGAGGGAAAGAAGGGTTAGGGCACGAGGAGGAGACGAATGAAAGGGAAGGGGTGGAAGGAGGGGGTAGGTTAGTAGGAGGGGAAGAAGAGCCGGGCTACGACGAGATGGCGTTGGGTAGGTGGGAGGAGAAGAAGAGTTAGGGTAGGATGAGGGGAGGGCAGAAGGGCAGAAGGAAAGGAAAGTTCAGAGAGAGAGAGGAAGAGGAAGAAGGGACGGCAGGGAGAGGGAGCGGAGGGGTCGCTGCCACGGCTACCCTGGCATGAGCACGGCTGAGAGAGAGGAGCGTGCGAGTGAGCACAGAAACAACGCATCATCAATCATCAAAGATCAATCATCAATCATCAATGATCAATCACCAATGATGACAATCATCTGCTGCCGCGCGAGTAGAGTTGATGGCAGCCAGCGGCGTGATGGCAGCACCATGCAGCGGGTAGCAGCTACATACAGGATGATGTCATACAGAAGGGGGTGGTAGCTACATAATAGGGGAAGTATACAGAAGGGGGTGGTAGCTACATACAGGAGGGTAGCATACAGAAGGGGTGGTAGCTACATACAAAAGGGTAGCATACAAGAGGGGTGGCAGCAATATACAGCAAGGGGTGGCAGCACCATGCTGTGGTGGCAGCAACATACGGGTGGAAGACCAACTCTGGAGGTGGGAGATCACCCTGCAGGGCAAGGCAGTACACTACAAACGGTGGCTGCAGCGGGCACGGTGAAGGGGGGATTGGCATAACCACGCTGTGTGATGGGGTGGGTGGCCGAACCCTGCAGGAGTGTGGGTGGTATAGGCACTGATATCCTATGGTAGACGGACGTGTGAATCAGGCTGTGGGGCAGCGACAATCGAGGTGGCCGTCGCCAAGGTGACCGTGAGCGATGATCGCGTCCGAGAATGACGCACAATTAATTATCCGGCGAAACTAATGAGTTAACGGGGCGCGATGCTGGTGGCAGCCAGCGTAATTACAGTCAACCTGCTACAGGGCTCATGATACTAGTACTACTGCTACTGCTGCTGCTGTTGCTGCTGCTGCTGCTGCTGTTGCTGCTGCTGCTGCTACTGCTGCTGCTGCTGCTGCTACTGCTGCTGCTGCGACTGCTGCTACTGCTGCTGCTACTGCTGCTGCTGCTGCGCTGCTGCTACTGCTGCTGCTACTGCTGCTGCTCCTGCTGCTGCTGCTACTGCTACTGCTGCTACTGCTACTGCTGCTACTGTTGTTGATGCTGCTACTG